GGGGAAGGTACGGTGCGGGCGGCGGCCTGGGGGCGGTACGGGCAGCAGCCTGGGGAAGGTACGGGCAGCGGCCTGGGGAAGGTACGGTGCGGGCGGCGGCCTGGGGGCGGTACGGGCAGCAGCCTGGGGAAGGTACGGGCAGCGGCCTGGGGAAGGTACGGTGCGGGCGGCGGCCTGGGGGCGGTACGGCGCGAGTGGCATCCTGGGGGTAGTAAGCTGCGGGCGGCGGCTGGCGGCTCACCGTTTTGCTGATGTAGGAGGTGCTGACATTCATGCACTGCAGCTCCTCACTGTTGCAGCAGCCTCCACATCTGTAGACAGACACGCAGGGTGGTTTATAGAAGGTGTTTGTAGGCGACCCCAGCTCTTTCCCCACATCTAAACACACTTCGCGTGGCATGCACAGCGTCTTTCTCCACTCTGACTCTATACCTGTTGTCGAGACAGGGAGACGACATGCGTTAGAGTGACCTTCATGTTCATACCGTGCATATGATTTACAGTTATTCCTTTACTGTATGTAAAAATGCTTTTTATGCTGCTCACATTCATACAACGCTACTCACTTAAACACCATTGTAAAACTCTGGTGTATCTTACACACTTTCCCATATTTTATTTGCACAAAATGACACAAAAAGCTCCTCGTTCGACTTAATGCGTCCAACGCGAAAGGGTGACGTACTTTTGAAAACTTCAAAATCGTAGAAAGCGGCGGCGAACATGACAGGCTCCCCAGAGCCACTCCCGGCGGTGCGGCCCCGGCCTGGGGGCCGCTGACCCAGCTTGTACCGGCAGCGCAGCGAGGTCCAGCTGCCTCTGTATACAAGCTGCATGAGCTCGTCCACGCTGGACGCGGCGCGCAGCCGTTGCTCCAGTTCGGGCTGCACTTCCTCCTGTGCGGAAATACAAAAGCATCGTTTAAGGGGCAGCTGTCGACGCCGCAACTGGAGTGTCATCACAGGTGAAACTGCCACATTGGTGGACGGTAGCCCAGTAAGGCCAATAAGCACGGATGCGTAAGCACATCCATTGTCTGCCAAACTTGAGTAAGCTTTAAAAAATAGTATCTATGAATAAGATCAGGCATAGTCAGAGGTGTAGGGACAGGACAGGCTTAGCCAATTACTTAGTGCAATCTGCTTTTATTTGTGTGTCTCTTTTGCACAGTGAAAATAAAGGAATTGTGTTTATTAAATTCTCTTTGTTGATATTATTAATTTAGACTTCATGCTAAAATAATGGTCATAAATGTTACTATGTTGGGCGGGGTGCATTGGGGGGCCCCATGGAGTTTTTTGCCCGGGGCCCCCAGTGTCCCTATAATCATCTCTTTTAATAACTGATTTATTACTTTATCTAAATTGATTTCTGAGTTTTGTCCAGACTGCTAGACATTTCACTGTAGAAATTGAGAAATAATTGTGAACTTAAGGTGCAGCAGCATTTTGCAGGGATCGGGGTTTTATCTTCACCCCCCTGCCTCCAGCAGTCTCACTTATGCATTTGTTTTTGCATGTTAATAAGAGCTTGATACAGTCACAAGGTTGCAAACATCAGCAATTTAAACACTTAATGTCATGCAGCTGTGTGCAAACGATGTGCTCAGGGTGCGACACACCAGGATGACGCCATCATTGAAATGTGGACACTGATGAATCCAGTTTGACCGAAGAGTGAACAGAACTGAGGTTGGAAACCTTAGCAGACTTTTCTGTGGCCTCCAGCACAACTCACCCCCCCCCCCCCCCCCCACACACACACACACACACACACACACACCCATGGGACTCTTGGTAGGCCTACGCAAAGTGTGAAAACACAAGCACCATGCACTTGGGGGCCAGAGCTGGCGGATGATGAAAAGCGATACTCCTGTCTGGAACATTCCAGGAAGCGTGCTCAGATACCCCCATGACTGATTGACCCTGCCGATAAAACAACACAGATTTGTCTCTGAGGTGTCAAAAAATGAAGAGATGGGAGACTGAACAGAAGAAAAGCAGAAAATCCCAAATAGATTCCTCATCCTTCTCTTATCTGGGCGATTCGTCATATTTCATTAAGTGTGAAAACCCCCCCATGCTTTTTAAAGCAAGCTGATAAACCGCACTCTGAACCTCTCACTCCGCCTTGGCTGCTGTGTACGGCAACGCGTAAATACTGCCGCCGCTTATCTGAGGGCCCCAGCTGCCCCTAAGCCAAGTGGACAAAGGTGAACAATATACCTGCCCTGCACTGCGGACTGGTCACGTTTTAATTCTCCATTTCTCAGCCGACCTGTCTGCTTTTCCGCTTGAACCTCTGGCGGAACAGAAAAGCTTAGAGGAAAACAGCGATGTATCTAGTCTCTGTCGAATACGGTGGTTTCTTTTTGGAATACAATGCTTCCTTTCTGGCACAAAATCTAGTAACAAGAATAAAACAAATATTTATATAGAAGAAATGCTAAAAAAAAATTAAATAAAATCACCGGGGACTGAATATGTGATTCCAACTAGTGCATTCATAGCTCTGAGTCAGACGCAGCAATTGAGTTCTTGATCTGTCTGGTGTTTGTGCTGCTGGATGTTGTTTTACAATAAAATGACACATGTTGGGGGGGGGGGGTTGTCAATTATCAGGCAACAATTTATTGACCTCATCAGCTGAAGACAGAGCGTCCACTGATAGCTGTCAGGTTACTGATGGATCAATAGGACAGGAGGTGGTTAAGCCCGACATTTATCACCAGATCCTGGGGATGGCGCAGCTGAAAGCACTGGGTACCAAAGAACATTTCTCATCAAAGTCCAACACAGGCAGGAAAGGCTACAAGGACCTTGCAGGAAGTGACCATTCCAGACTGCACGCTTTACTATTATTTGCCCAGGAAACTCAAATACTGGGGAGAAGGCTAAACTGCGCTATTGTGGCGCATTTATTCCGTGTCTTTGTTTATAACAATTCCTGAAATAACGTCCGTAGTCTGTTTCCTACCAGGAACAATAGAAGACACGGGTGTGCAAACAGGGTCACACATTACTCAGTTGCCAGTTTCCCAGTTTAGCAGGTTTACTGTTATTTTTCTCTCGTTCTTTCCATGCAATCCATTTTATGTGGAAAGACAAGTGAATTTTAGTGTTAAAAAAAAACTATGTGGCCACCTGTGTTTAGTTTACAATGTCTTAAAATGTGTTTTTTTTTAAGGAAGAATACCTATTACGCCTATAAAATAAGATAAAATAGTAGTCTAGCACAAAAAAGAGTTAATTCTAAAACAACAATAGCCAAGAAGATGATGACTGTCAATGCCAGAAAACCGCCGCAACATTGGTAAACCTGAACTGAGAAATTAGTCACGGTACAACACAAACCCTTCAGTTGCTAAACCGCTTGTTATTCCGCATCTGTTACTATTGCCGAACTGCACATGAATACGCAGGGACTCTGACGAGGAAGGATCGAAGTTAACATCCCCTCTACTGCACTATTTGTTGCAGGACTGTGTTCATTGTTTTGTTAGTTTCTTCTGATAATGAGGTTACTTGAGGATGCCTTCTCGTTTGATTTGAGGATCCCGGTTTATCCGGTTCCACCTCACGGCGACAGAAACACGCGGAGCGCAAAAACAAATGAATCACAGCTCCTCTGTTCCCGATTAGCGCGCCGATGTTCTGTCGAGTTGAGCTACTTTGTCGAGTTAGGCTACCGTAGTGCTAATCGATAGCCCTAACCCTAACCCTAACCCCTCAAAAACCCCTAAAACCCTTACTCTAACCCCTAAAACCTAACCCTAATCCCAAGACGGTGGAACTGCACATGCGCAGAAAGGCTCGATAGCGCGTCTCGAGGTAGCTCAACTCGTCAGAACACCAGCCGATGGGCGCCCGTCCAGCTCCCTCCTTCGCGCCGTTTCAACTTGCATTCCATATTATGTATTTCGGTGTGCTTCAATCCCTGTGTCCGTACTGTACAGGACACACGCGTTTTTGGCAGCAAACTGTTAATGAACCTGTCTGAGAACAGAACGAGTGGGATCACATTTGTTCCAACTTTGTTCAGCATGGTGAAAGAGAGATAATTCGGTATGCATATAATGACATAATGGCACCGGACCGTGCATTCAATACGCGCATTGCGTTAGGTACTGCGGTTATAAGATGCTAAAATAATTTCAGTAATATGAGATATGCGTTTATAAGGTGACACCGGAGCCACCAGTCTCCAAAGCGCACTCGCTAGTCCCTTCTGGTTTCCCACGTGTCCTAGTGTTTTAACTCCCTTCAGACTTCTTGTAATTCTTCTGCTTATTTCATTATACTGACAACGAAAAGACGGCTTTTAATAATGACTATGCGAGGTAAATCTGATAAGAAGCGTTTAACGTGGCCAATCATAGGATTACGCCCCTGTTCTGGGTTTTAAGTCGATTAAGTGAAACTGTGGAGCACTTTTTTTGTCACACACCATGACCAAGTGACTGTCTTATTGCAGTTTGCGCTTTTATACAGTGAATTTAGGTTTCTGTGGCTAGTTAGACATTTAAGAATATATATATATATATATATATATACACACGCCAAGGAAAGGTACTTTGTTTAAATGTTTATCGCCACAATACGAGCGACGCAAGACAAACAATATTAATAGTGACACACAGGAACACGTTGTTTTTTCTACAGTGAAACAGTATAACATACAATAATGTAATGCATTGTAGACGAAGCGGGAGGTCATTATACATGTAGAGACACGGTCCATTTCAAGTAGCGATGTACGTACAGCAATAGATAAGGCGGCAATTTCGTGAAATTTAGGTTATGAATAGCAAAGTCAAAGGAGAAACACCTGCCCAGTTCCTGCATGGTGGTCATGTGTGAGCTAAATGCTCACGTACCACATTTTACATGTGAGGTGTGTCAGGAACACAGCACACCTGGGTAAGACGTCAGTGCGTTTGTCTTTAGTGGACATAGGGTGTAACCGAGCAGCACGGTTCAGCGTTTGTGTTCATGCTGTATGAGAGGAGTTCCAGTTGGCCAGTGTTTTGGTGTAAGATGTCTGAGAGCGGCACTGGTCAGTCAGACCAGGTTTCCATGTACTTCATCTCGGACAGATGTGCAGGGAAATTCCCTGTCAGTCTGCTGCGAGCATTTCAAAGTACATCACTTTCGCCAATATGACGGGGATGTCTGTCAGGAAGCGATCCTGTTACCGAAGGGAATGGGTTTTCCAACATGGGGAATGAATGCTAAACCCATCAGAGCTCGCCGGACATCAGAGCGGACAGACACGAAAGATTTCATCAACGCTCGACAATCTCGATGCGAACATAATTCCGTTTATAGGCAGCCAATCAGTAACAGATGTGCATCTTTTTTATTACATTATATGACTAATGACTTGCCAAAGGATATTCCGCTTTGCGTGGAGAAGGTGAACTTTACCCAGCTGAATTCCCGGTTCTGGTGTCTGGGCTTGTTGGTATTACAGTGTGTTTCTGGAGGCCTTGAGGTGCTTACAGTGAGTGCTGGGGCAATTAAATGGCTGTGGTGCAGTAAACTAGCAGGATTTAGCCTCTTTTCTTGAGTCCACGGGGACATGAGTGACCGTGAGAGGCCGATATATCTCAGACATGGCTCATAACCCAACGTCCTGTTTTGGATCTGAGCAATAGGGTGGCTGAAACAATCCTACCATGCAGCACCGAAGGCAGCCAGTATCCACTAGGGTGTGGGGGAGGGAGTGGAGTAAAAAGTTTTTGCGATTTTAATCAGCTCACACGAGAGCAGTTGTTTACTTTAGCTCGGAAACATTACTCTGTTTTGCAGTGTTTCCAGGCAATGGCGCGTCCGTCCACTGAATCACATCTCCTACGTACAGAGTCGACAAGGAAGCCGGCCCGAGACCACGATTAGACACAGACATTATGCGGATTAGTGATTTCTGATTGCTTGTAGGTCCCCTTTCCTACAGACAAGCTTCCAGAATGTGTGGAATCTCAATAAAAGACACTGAAGATACTCTTGAATGGGTGCATGGATGAAGATTTAGGACAAAGGACTGAAGCTGAAGGTCTCCCTGCATCAATGCTCATTTTCATTACTTAATGAGTGGTGAACTGCGACAAAGTTTCCCCATAAACTGGCAGCATTACACACTTACTGCAAGATGCAATTAAAGATGTGCTGAGATTTACTGAGGGGATAAACACAGATCAGACATGCGGATTTGAGAGCCTGGCGGGTCCTGCTGGCCTCGCGTCCACCTGAGAGGCGGCCGCAGTCCAACACAGTGGACCTCTGACTCCCCCTACTTTCAATCAGGGGAAAAAATGTAAGCGCAGGTGCAACGTGTGTAAACTACTGAGCAAGAGGTCAAGGGAGATGAACCTTTAAATAGATCTGCTACCGAAAGCTGTCCAGTGCTGATTCTTTGCTAAGTTGTGGTCAAACGAATTAACTTTCTTAAGCCCAAGATAATCACTCACAGTTTTGGCCTGGATCATAAAACTAACAGAGACTATGTACTAAGACGTCCTGTAGCATGCTAAGGAAAATGGCTCATTTATTAGCACACAGCGAGGTGGGATGTGCGCTTCTGGGAGAAGGTATTCCTCTTCAGCTCCTCCGAGGTGAGGTGGCCTGGGGTGTGAGACATGCCACGTTGCATCGAAACAGCCTTTGGAGTGAGATGTTTCGATATAGAACACTAACGCTAACGGTGATGACTCATCACTGGCTGAAAGCCTCAGACGGCTTGGGAAGGTTTCACAAAGGGAACATTTCAACACATGTCACTCCTGCTAATTGTTCACAAAACCACACGAATAACACAGGGGTGAATGTGCTCACAGCATAATTATTACAACAATGCAAAAATGTCTTATCTTTTATATTTTGCATTAATTTTGCATCGATTTTTATTCAGATTATTTAATTGTGCCAAATAGACCTGTAATTTTTTGTTAACCCTTTAAACTCCCTGTGATGGACTGGCATCCCATCTAGGGTGTCCCACCTTGGTGCCTTGTGCTGCCTGGGATGGGGTCCAGGCTCACCAGGACCCTGGACTGGATAAGCAGTTATGGAAGATTTATGGATGAGCCTTTGGAAGGGTGACATATATAACAGCTTGGAGACCCAGTCAAATGGAGGCTCTAATCCAGCTCTGAGCTCATACCTACCACACAGTTTTTGTTCACTTTCTGTCATATGAACTTCATTAATGCCTGATGAATGGGACTTTCGGTCTTAATAGGAAAACAGGCTCTTGCTTTAAGAGACCACGCAGAATGTTCTAGAATAATTGGGTTATGAGCACGCTTAAGTTTGCTGCAGTGCGGTCATGATCGGATTAAGCGCTCACATGGTGCGGAACGCTACTGGATATACGTTTTCAGGTGACCATAAACTGGTTATGGGGGAAAATGTCATGCGGGGTGATTTTTGTTATCGTGACAGGTGATAGGAAATGTTCTCGCCCAGGTGGCCAATTAGAGCACGCCTTAGCCTCGCTTCAAAAGCACGCTGGTCACCCAGGTGGTGAGAGGGAACCGGCAATCTCAGCACATGGATGTCACTCCTCCATACCAACGTCGGACACACCCTGCTGCCAGTCACTCCCAGTTCGTCCCCGTCCCTCTAGCTTGAAGTGAAAGTGACTGCCATCGCTGACACACCACAGCACAAATGTGGTGTGTCCTTTGCATTTAACCCAAGTCTAGAGTGAGTAACCGTTCATTCCTCTCATTTTTCCTCCCATTCCATCATGCTTACAGCAGGGCCTCAGTGATGTAGATGTCCCTCCCGCCCCCAGCTGGACCCCCCTGACAGCACACATATACACATTCCACTCTGGGGTTCATTGACCGTTTGTTTACAGGCAGCCAGGAGGCCACCTTGGGCCCCCTGGAGCTGAGGGGGGCGCCCCCAAAAGACCCAGCTCCTGTATTCTCCATCCTGTCACGAGCTACGTGCAGAAACAAAACCGAGACAAACATGAGGTTTTAATGCCATTCCACAAATCACAGCTTGGTCACGCTCTTAAGAGACCCTACCTCAAAGCAACTGACCCAGGCACACCTCCAGGATTGGTTGGAGCAGCCAACGTGACGGATGGTGATTGGCTGAAGACCTAAACGCTGTGGGTCCCGGGAGGTACAGCAGCTGCAGGACTGTGGGCCTCCTGTCAGGGTCTGTCTTCTACAATGTGCTTAAGAACGCAGCGCTTTTTGTCACAAATCCTAAGCTGGTGGGAGGACGGGCGGGAGAACCTGCTGTGTTCAGTAACACACAGCTGAATGCATGGAGGAACTGGAAGGACCTGAGGGGCTACGCACTTCCTGCTACGGATTCCGGAACGTGCCCGTCACCACCCCCAAAGGGAAACCGATGTTCAGTATTCCCGCTGTTCCGATGCTGTCTACGGAAACCCGGAACGCAGGCTGGGATGCAGCATGTCCCTGGCCACACAGCGTGGACCGTGTGAGACTGGGCAGCGTTCTGGTGCTGAGGACCATCCTACAGAAACACAGCCTCATATAACTTAAATCAGCGCCGTTCTGTTCCTGGACATTCCGCTCCAGACGCCTGTGACACCATGAGGGTGTTGTTCAGGTTCAGCATTCTTCAGCAACCGTAACACAAACATGCGGGTCCTTATGGGAGTGAACGGACCATCTAGGGGGCAGATAAATGAAAGAGAAACAGCCGGCCTAAATGAAACACATACATGAAAAATTCACAAACTTATAAATTTAATAGTTCGAAAGGGGTGTGATGTCCAACAGGTACTATTCATGAGTTGTATGTAGAGGTAGAAGTCCTCGAGGTCCGCTTATTGTAATTTTGCCTAGCAGAGGTCTGTGTGATGTCAGAAATGACACCGCTGAGATTGGTTCCTGTCAGCAACGAATAACTAACCGGCGGGGGGCAGGTAAGCATCCTGACAGGCTCCGCGGAGGGGTCTGAGCCTGAACCGGCTAAGATTAGCTGTGGACATTTCTGAGATGACAGGGGTTACGGTCCTTTGCTGGGCAGCTTAACAGCCACACACATGTTTCGCGTTTGAAGGTAATCCTTGCAAAAATATTCGCGACTGTGTCCCGGCTGAAATGTAAACGTTCCCCATATAAAACAAAAGACGGCAGATAACAAATTTAAGAGCTCGTGGTGTTTTTCAGGACATAAATCGGCTATGATCCAGAGAAATCCATCATAATTAAGCTGGGATTTTACAATTACTCCGGGGGTTAAAAGCCCCCACAAAAAAGCAACAAAAAAAAAGCATGATTAACGGCGATGGCGCTGAAGAGCTCAGCTCAGACGCGGGAGGCTCGTCAGACTCTCAGCGCCACACTCAACCATTAATATTCATTAAATACACAGGGAGGTACAAGGAAAACTCTACTTTCAGTCGTGCAGCAGATTTCAGAGCAATAAGTTACATTACACTAACCTTACATTCCCCGAAGCAAAAGGGCATCCTGATTTTAAAACCAAAAATATTTCAAACGCCAAATGGGGGGGGGGGATCACAATAACCGTCTAATAATCACAACGCCTTCATGCCTCTCGGTTGCCGTTTTGAAATAAGGTTCAAATACCGAACACGGCGTATATGCATATTGGCAGGACACTTAATTTGCAATTACTTGCAATTCTGCATATGGGACAGTCTGGAACTGCGGGGGTTTTACATGGGATAGGAAAAGTAGCAGCGTGAGCATGAGCAAAAATACTAAGGTTTAAAAGCANATTCTGCATATGGGACAGTCTGGAACTGCGGGGGTTTTACATGGGATAGGAAAAGTAGCAGCGTGAGCATGAGCAAAAATACTAAGGTTTAAAAGAAAAAGCCGTAAGAAATTTGTCGGGGGTGTAAAGTCGCAGCAGGACATTTAAGTTCTGTGGCGCTCAGTGACCTACAAGTGAAGCGAGGTCGAAATGCTGCGTGGAAGCATTTTCCAAACTGTGCTATATTTAATACATTTATACAAAAATGTATAATAAGGGCCTGTTTATCATTATTACTGTTATAAGAATTATTATTAGTAGTAGTATTATTACAATTATATTATTAATAATGATGATGCAAGACAGGCAGTACAGAGGTCATTTTAGACATTTAGAAAGTGACAATTAATATCGCATGGTAATTAAGAGCACTATATTAGTGAATAGCCCTGTTGCAGATTATCGTCTCTCTCTTTCCTGCCCGCCGCCATCGGGGGTCGAACGCGCACAAACTCCCGCTATTTGACGCCGACACCTGTGCGCGCGCGAGGACCATCCGACATGCGGGATCTCTAACATACAGATCAGTATGGTCCGGTCCCTAATGTCGCTAAACAGTAGATAGCAGTGCCAGTTTGCCACTGACAGCCCATAAACACATTAATAAATGCATGAATAGGGTTCAAATTCTTCATCACACAGTAAATGGAAAAATGCTTAATGAGTAACGTCGCATTCCTACAAAACAAAGGCTAGTGCAAGATTTTTAGTGAAATAAGGCTAATTATGTATAGGTGAAAACCCAATCACAATATATCACAAAAATATCGGTTATCGTGAGAAACTGTAGCAGTGTGTAAATCTAATTTGTTAAAAAGGCCACCGCGTTAACAGAAAAATGTGTGTGAAATGAGAGTATACGTACCTGGAAATCTCCTTGACCTTGGTAATCATCATAATAATCTTGAAATGATTCAATTGCCAAGCTTCTGTAAATAAACACGATGCAGACGAAATATGGAGATAATCCAAATAGGTGCATTTTATACAATCTCAGCAATCCGGGATGGGGTATAAATCCTCTCAAACTTCTGGCGGCTCTCTATTATGCGCGGCTGCTCCAGACTCCTCTCCCAGTCAGATTAAAATGCGACGATGGTATCAGAGACGCAGGCTCTCCTTTGTGAGCCCGGGGATGGTGCTGGAATAGCCGACTCGTTGCTTTATCTCGAGATAAATAAATAAATAAATAAATAAAATTTAAAAAATACAAAAAAAAAACTTATTTTTTTAAATGCAGGCTTTTTTACGCGCTTGCTGTAAGTAAACTTTGAAAAGAGCGCTTCGTGCCCGGTGCTCCGGCTTTTAAGGCGGCGTGAAGGTCTGGGCAGCGGGGAATGGCATGTTTAAAGCAATTTCACGCTGTCCCTGACATCCCCTCTCCTCCCCCTTTCTGGGTCTGGTCTAAGCAGGATTCCAGCAACTTACAATTTATACAAAGCGGGACGTTTGGGAAAAGAAATATGAGTTGGGACACGTGCGCCTTCTCGACTTTTTTCACTCACAAATCCGGTTACGCGAAGCTGAAACTCAACACTTGTCTGCCCTCACGCCGTTATTGCTCTTGCAACATTTTTCTATAGGCCCATATGCAATAAAATCCTTATATTATTCTTTTGTTTTCTAAAGTACATCGGTGCACATGAGGCGAAGGCAGCCATTAAATGCGAATTAAAACTGAGCCTCCGTCAGTCTGTATTTGGCTGACGCCGGCTCTGGAATCGATTGCACGTAAAGAAAAAAACGGAAAACCGTTTTGCATATTTACCGCAAATGGTACATATTTTGTTTAGTTTCTTGGGCTGCGGGGGGCCATCAAAGGAACTAAAGTGGAGAAACGTGGTTTAATAAGGAAGGTGTAGTAAATACGCACCTTGGCGATGTCGCAGGAAAGTTCGGCTTTGACTAATCTGCATCTGCTGCTCCCCTGAAACACGAGGGCCCGCCCACCTCAGCCCCTCAAAAACCTGCCCTGACTCTTTCTCACCTGCGTTTCCCTCCAGGTTCTGCCGGGCATGCTGACACTCTTGTTAGCATCTGGAGGGCTCTCTGTCTTTGGGTCCAGTGCCCCCCCCCCCCCTCTCTAAGATTGTCACTCCCCTATTAAAGACAATGCCTTTAATTGGGGGGGCAGGAAGACCATTACGATAAGAGGAGGCCGAACCCTGCGAGGTCACAGGTGCAAAATACTTGGCACAGTTATGCTAGTTAGGGATGAGCAGTTTAAGTACCAGCTAATATCCGCCAGCACTGAACAGGTGGCTGCATCTCACTCCCCCAGAGACCTTTTTTTATCTCCTCCTGAATGAAGCACAGCAGTTCATGCCTGTGTTCCGGATCCTTCCCTTCAGGCTCTTAGGTCTGTCCATATTGCTTTTCCTGGAAAGAACCAGGCCCGTCCTGCTGTGTCATAATATCTGCACAAAACAGCAAGGCTCATCCTTGAGGGAATATAGTGAATAAAACAGGTGTTCCACAGACTTCTCTAACATTACAGTGCGATGTACATTTTTTGAGAAAGCAGGGGCGAACAGTTCCTGGAGCAGTTGGGTGTTAAAGGGCTTGCTGGGGGGGGGGGGGGGGGCTAGTAGTGAAATTTCTCTGCTGACCCTGGGATTTGGACCAACAACCTTCCGATCACTGGCACAGCATGCTAGAGCGCTGAGCCAAGCACTGCCTGCAGACTCGACCACTGATGGAGGCCCTGCGGAAATCTGTAGGGTCACGTTAGCATTGAGGGTGCGATAAGCTAAGCGCCTGCATTTTCAGCTTTGATAACCCCCCCCCAGCCCCCCGCTGTTTCCATTACGCGTGTTTTCATATTTGATAAATGACGAGTGTTCCTCCGGCCCGCGTGTGGGGTGACATCAGCGGCATGCTGCTGCTCCAGAAATTCAGGGTTAGCAAAGGTATACAATGGTCATGGTGGAGGCTTTGGATCTCAACACAGCCCCCCCCCCCTCGTGGCACCCAAACAAAATCCTGCTGAAGGGAATTCAGACCTCATCTCACTGGTGTCTAAGTCATTGTTTTTTGGGAGTTTTTAATAGCAAGTGTCATGTGACTCTTGCTTAGGTCAGCCTGGGTGCAGAATTTTATTTATGTGTCAAGAAAGATTATGGTGGGTTTTTTTTTAGCACAGTGACTAAATGTTTTCAGGGTGGCAAATTATAAACCTTTACCGCCAATAGTGCTTGAATATCAGTACCATAAATGTCTAGAAATGCCGGAATTCATTCCCCCTGTAATAATGCTGAAGGTTAATAGAAACACTCGGTCAAACTCAATTTCATTTAGCAGTAAAGCATCAGAAGGGCAGAGCCCCTTTTGGCAGAAGCAGTTGGCAAGGTTGATATCGTCATGGCGCCAGTTCACATGGCAGGCAGCGATCAGCATTCCCGCCTCTCACACTTTCTTAGCTTCACATGCTATTAACTACTAGCACTTGAGTCAGTCACAGTCCAGCGAGAGAGGAAGCCCGCCTGGAATTTATATGAGGGCTCTTGTGGGTGCCCTGAGCAGTGAAGCCAAACCTACCCCCCCCCCACCCCGGGTTGCACAGCTTGTTCCCACACTTACCATCCTGAGTGGGTTTGACCAGCTTTTGGAAGTGGTGGCCCTCAATAAACGTCTGGGTGACTCTGCTCGGAGCAGGTGTGCAGGGGCTACGGGACAGACCATAATAATCACCTTCTAAACACTGTCTCACTTTAAGACATTACAGTTGTATCTTATGTCACAATTAATGAAAAAGTGAAGAAATTATGAAAGTGCACTATAAATGTACACACACATCAACGCATAGAAACAGAGATGCTTAAGAGGTCTGGAGGCCAGCAGCACTGGCTGCCGGACAGCAATGTACAGCCGGCTAACTGGGTATTGGCTGCCGTGACTCGGGGAGGTGAGAGCCTGCTATGGGCCCCGCGTGTGGTCAGGGCACTCTGAGGTCTGTTTATTCGCGTGCAGGTCGCGGTTTCCACGCGAGCTCCCTGCCTCTGTGACTCGGGGGGGTGAGAGCTTGCTACCGGCCCCGCCCGCGGTCCGGGCACTCTGAGGTCTGTTTATTCGCACGCAGGTCGCGGTTTCCGCGTGAGCTCCCTGCCTCTGTGACTCGCGGAGGTGAGAGCCTGCTACGGGCCCCGCGGTCAGGGCACTCTGAGGTCTGTTTATTCGCGTGCAGGTCGCGGTTTCCACGCGAGCTCCCTGCCTCTGTGACTCGGGGAGGTGAGAGCCTGCTAAGGGGCCCGCGGTCAGGGCACTCTGAGGTCTGTTTATTCGCGTGCAGGTCGCGGTTTCCATGCGAGCCCACTGCCTCTGTGACTCGGGGAGGTGAGAGCCTGCTAAGGGGCCCGCGGTCAGGGCACTCTGAGGTCTGTTTATTCGCGTGCAGGTCGCGGTTTCCGCGTGAGCTCCCTGCCTCTGTGACTCGGGGAGGTGAGAGCCTGCTAAGGGGCCCGCGGTCAGAGTAATCTGAGGCCTGTTTATTCGCGAGCTCTCTGCCTCTGGCCCGTGTTACTTAAAACATGAGTGGCACACATTTATGTGGCTTCCAGGGCTCGGAGAGTGCAGCCGTGCAGTTCTACGTAAAGCAAACCCCAGATCGAGGCCTCACCACCCCACTGCCCGGAGGTGCACTCGGCGAGGGGTTGCTGAACGTGGCTGGTCGACTTGCTGGTCATGCTACCAGGGAGCGATGTAAAGCCGTGTCAACAAATAACAACACTTATTACCCTACATCTCCCAATCTGATGGAGGAAGGTGTCCTCAGCCCCTCAGACAGGGGCGGTGTGAGGGAATAGAGACACAAAAAGAGGAGAAACGGCAATCAGAGGCTGAATATTGGAAACATCCAACAGGAGTTTCACTTCATGGTTACAATGTCGGTCCTCAAACCCGGTCCTGTGATTGTGCACATCTGTCCAGCCACTGAGTGATCATGTGGCCCCCTGCAGGTCTCCTCATTTTCCTGCTCCCATTCCATAAATCGCAGCGTGTAATTCCAGTACCGAAACAGCTAATCCTGATTGTTGTCCTCCTTGTGGTCAGCAAGTCAAGCCAGGAAGGCATCATGGCTCCTGTTTTGGGCCTCCACAGAGGTCGGTGGGATGGTGGGTGAGGACCCAGGGCCGAGGCCTTACTGTTCAAGCCCCCATTGGAGGAACTTGACCCCTGGCATCTTCTGTTTGACACCCAGCTGCGACAGCGAGCCACATTGTGGAATGCCATCTGCTGATGGGAATGTCATTAGAGCCCAAGCATACACCAGCCTTCCCGGTGCCGAGCCGGCATTAATGGGAGGTCTCTGGGAAGCTATCAAAACACCCGTTTTCTGGAGCCGTGCCTGTCTGGGGTGCTTGACCCGCGTGCGGACACAGTGTTTGTGGAGTAGGACACTCTTGGCGGTACATGGGGTGAATGAACCTGCACGAGGCTTGGACAGACCTCCCAGCACATTCAGATGGGAGCAAAGCCTCTTGGGAAATATGGCCGCAGTCTTAAACAATGTGGCACAAAGCCCTTTCCAAGTATAATCATTGGACTCAGGGTAGGTTTTACTGGCCTCTCCAAAAGGTAAAACCACGGTAAGTACCTCTAAGGCAGACCACTTAAATTTAGCATGGTCCTTAGCTAATGCAATTGCGTAACTGTAGTTTACAGTGGAGTGCCACCGAACCACGCGTGATGTGGCGCTGCATGTCATAAACACAACAAGCGGCCGTAAAAATCCAAAACAAACGTGTTGCCTTTGCCTCAGTGCAGGATTCTGAGCTGATGTGACGCCGTGCTTGTTGAGGCTACAAGGTCCCGTCAACAGCATGGGCGATAATGAGACTGAGGACGTCACGTTGTTTATGGAAATTTTACGAGGCTGCGTGGTATTTATAGACAGTGCCTGGCTGAGCTCACAGTCGAAGTGTCTCGCTGAAGCTTGAGGAATCAGGCTCTCCTGGGGAGTGTTGCATGCTGGACCATTAAGAGGCTATTACCAGTGACGGAGCTCTGTTATTGGTTTATGTAATGAGGTTCCTTGTTGTACTTGCAGGCCCAGGAATACTCAACAGAAAGTGAATCATATTGCTTCCTAGATTGGTGTTTTGGGGGGGGGGGGTGTATATTATGGTTCTTAAATACTCCCCATCTCCTGCAGCAGCTAGCTGATTAAGGTCCACTTACAGCCCCCCGGCTGTCCTTCACTTCCTGTGTCATCCTTGTGTTTCACGTTTGGGATGGGAGCCAAAGGATGCCACAGTGTGTCATGGAGCACGTCCAGCCTTGGGTCAGTGTACACACCCCGCACGGGGGGGGGGGGGGGGGGGGGGGGGAGGGGGGGTGTTGACTCAGCTGGACCTGCGTGTGGACTGGGAGATGTTTCTGCACGCGGGTTCATAGCTGTCCTAATGGACACTGAAAAGAAATCAGCACTTTAAGATTAAATCAGCATCCATGAAAAGAAATGGTCACTTTGGATGAAGCCAGCAGTTTAAGCTGAACTCTCCCTGTAATACAGACTCTGAACTCTGTTATTGTGTCAGATATTGAGGATCATGCAGTAATGCATACTTCACAATGCTTTTCATT